CTTCTTTAAAAAGCTGGTTTAAACTCCTCTGATATGAATAATTTTCATCCCATTTCAAAATTGCCTTTTATTTCAAAGATACTGGAGAAGATTATGTATGCACAGCTTAATGATTTTTTTGGTGAAGAACAACATTTCAGATAGATTTCAGTTAGGGTTTAGAGCCGGCCATAGTACAGAATCAGCTCTTTTGAGGGTTACTAATGATATTCTACGTGGCGCTGACTCTGGAAGTTGTGTTGTTCTGTTACTTTTAGATCTTACCGCAGCATTTGACACAGTTGACCATAAGATTCTCATTGATCACATTAGAGACCATGTAGGCATTCAGGGTTTAGCCTTAGAATGGTTTTCTTCATATTTAAAAGATAGGACTTTTTCAGTCAGTCTAGGGAATTACTCTTCATCTGTTGCCCCTCTTATGTGTGGGGTTCCTCAGGGTTCAATCCTGGGACCGGGTTTGTTTTCCCTTTATATGCTCCCTCTAGGATACATTTTTGAAAAACACGGCATTCATTATCATTTGTATGCTGATGACTCACAACTTTATTTACCATTGAAACGCAAGGATCATTTATCCATTCAATCGCTGTATGAATGTTTGGCTGAGGTTAAGTGTTGGTTGGCTAATAATTTTCTCCAAATGAATGAGAATAAGTCTGAGATTATTTTATTTGGTAAAAAGGGATGTGTGGATGATGTCACTGACTGCCTGGGGTTACTTACTGGGCAAAATCTTTCTAGAGTGAAAAACCTTGGTGTCATTTTTGACTCCGAGCTCAAATTTGATCGTCAAATTAATGCCGTTGTTAAAAATAGTTTTTTCCATCTAGATCTATATTCCATCTAGATCTATATCTAAGTTGATGTCTATCCTTTCTTTTGAGGACTTGGAGAAAGTTGTGCATGCTTTTGTGTCATCTCGTTTGGATTATTGTAATGCATTGTATCTGGGTGAGAGTCAGGCCTCTCTCTCCCGCCTGCAGCTTGTTCAGAATTCAGCGGCTAGGCTTTTAACAGGTACTAAGAAGAGAGAGCATATTACTCCTGTGCTTATTAAATTACACTGGCTTCCTGTATGATACAGGATTCATTATAAAGTGCTATTATATGTTTTTAAAGCTTTGCATGGTTTAGCACCAGAGTATATTTCTGATTTAATCAGTTTGCATCAATCCAATAGGTCTTTGCGTTCTAACGATCAATTACATCTGATGGTTCCTCGATCTTGTTTAAAATGTAAAGGTGATCGGGCCTTTTCTGTTGCTGCTCCAAGGCTTTGGAATGACCTTCCTCTGTCTGTAAAATCTTCTCCTACACTTCCTGTATTTCAGAGTGCGCTTAAAACTCATTTGTTTTCATTAGCATTTAAATCTTTCTTGTAATATGTTCTTTGTTGTTGTTGTGGTATATGTTTATAATGTTTTATGCTTGATTTTATTTTTATATTTTTATTTAGTCTTCCTGTACAGCACTTTGGTTTCCACACCGTGGTCTTGAAAGTGCTTTATAAATAAATAAAGTTGAAGTTGTTGAATGAATGAATGAATGAAGCATTTATACAGCGCTTTGTGTATAGCTGTACACCCAAAGCGCTTTACAATCATGTGGGAGGGGATCTCTCCTCAACATCCACCTGGATGTCCTCTGCACTTCTATAACTCTCTGGTTCAGCTCAGCTACCAAATCTTATCTCAGAAGACTACAGAGGATAGTCCAGACTGCTGAGCGAATCACTGGTACAACCCTCCCTACTCTCCAAGAACTGTACTCGGAGAGATCTGGTCGACGCTACAGAGCACT